TTAAGGTTTATCCATTTTTCAGAGTGGAGAGCGAGGGTGAGAGCAGGGGAGGGGCAGAGAGAGAGGGAGACACCGAATCTGAAGCAGGCTCCGGCTCTGAGCCATTAGCACAGAGCCCAACGCCGGGCTGGAAGCCACCAACTGCGAAATCATGACCTGCGCTGAAGTCGGTCGCTTGACCGACTGAGCCCCCCAGGCGCCACCCGCCCGCCCCCATAGGGCCCACTTCTAAGCATTGTGGTCATCTGAGTACTTTGCTGCCCCCTCTGCTCCCACCAGTTGGGGTGCTCCTTATAGGCTGGGACCATTTCCTGTTCATCCTGGTCTCTGCAACATCCCACCCTGAGCTGGCACAGAGCAGGGGTCTAGTTAGTGTTTGTTGAATGACTAAGAGAAGATATTCATGGTTTGCTCTGCCTTTTAGGTCCAGATTTCATACTATGGATCGAAGACCAGCCCGATCCAAGCCCTGCTCTATGTCACTGGTGTCGGTAAGTGACCACCAGGATCTTGGGGTCCCACTGCCCCCCTCCCACACACACACACACACACACCACCCTTGCAAGGCATCTCTCCGGGAGAAACTACACACTGGATCTTACTTTAGACTGAGCAGAAAAAAGGGACAATCTCTGGCTAGTCATGCATCTGGTGGTTCGTAAATATCCCCTCCCCCATCAGTGAACCATAAAGAAATTCACCGAGGGGTAGGGGAGGGAAGGCATTTACAGAGTGTGCAATGACACGTTAATATTTTCTCAACTTAGGAAGTGCCACATATATTTTCCATATATGAGCCTCTATACCTTTTGATACTTCAAATATTTATAAGAAAAGCAGATGATGACAGTCTTATACAATAATAGACCAATGTTCCCCAAATGCCACGACTTACGTCCCGTCTTTGCCATTCTGCCGTACCGATGATCTGCCTAGACTCATATTTATTTAATAGTCTTCTTTAAATAAAGTAAATTTTCTAACTTGACCTCATCATAAATGATAATTTTATAAGATTGTTGTTGCCATTTAAACGCGCATTAAATATATGAACGGCATGTGAAAACGTCACGTTTCATTTCATTAATGGGTTTCATTCATTAACAAATCAATTTCATGCATTAATACACACTTATTTCATGAGTATGCATTTTAATAATATGAACGATATAGCACTAATTCTATACCGGGTGCTGTGCTGAGACTTTACATTTAAACCATATGAAATTGGTACTGTTACAGCCCATTTGACAGATGAGGAAACTGAGGCACAAGAGGCCGACAGAGCTGCCTAAGTTCCTGCAGCCGGTTAGTGAAGGAGCCGGGAAATGCAGAGCATTCAACTCTATGCTGCTCTGACCCGACTACCACATGGCCGTGGATGTGTTTAAAAGGTCATCCAGGTCAACTTCACACTGGGAGCTCACAAGGTCATTACATATACTCTATGTAACCCCTTACAGATGTGACCACACGTGCTGATGAGAGGGTGGGAGGGATTTAGAAACAGGTGTATGCTTTCTCGGACTTGGCATTTGCATAGAGAGGGGTATGTCTGGGGCCATGATTTGTCCCCAGCACAGTCATAATGCACATAAAGAAGAGCCTGGTGAGGCTGGGTCCCCCACCCCAAGGTCACTGGGGACTGGAGTTGAGGCCAGAGGTCTCTGGGAGCCCGGCGAGGTGTCTTTGCACCAAGCATCCCATTGGGGGTGGCTGGGAATTCTTTCTGAACCCCTGAAGGTGGCTAGACATGTAGGGTCTGGGTAGCATCGCAGCTGTGACAAGTTCCCCTGCAAAGGAAAGTGCGTGCGGTCAGAAGCTCCAGCTCTGCTGTCTGAATTGCAGTCAGACGTCTTCCTGGGGGACATGGGGGCATCTTTGAACTTGTGTCTCCCCTGAAGCCGTGCAGTGCAGACAATCTCCCGGGGAAAGGATTATCCCCACCCCGGGCCAGACTGAGTGCCTTGACCTTGTCCCTTCACCAACCCTCTCCTCTTGGTGGGATTGCAGAAATCTCCTTGAGCGCGGACATCACCCGCACTGGCAAAGTGAAGCCTGCCGGAGCCCAGAAAGGCCAGGTAGGCTCAAGCCTCTGGACGCTCCAGCTGCGCCCTGACTCCGTTGGGTTCTCCTCTGGCGCCCCCTGCTGGTGATGGCACAAATGGCCGCCTGTCCCTTTAGCAAGAACCAGGGAGAGAAGAAAAGGACAATCCCCATGTCCATTTTGATGCATATGTTCCCCGTCTCTTTTGCAAAGCTAGATGTTCACCCGTTGTGCGTTCAGAGCATGTGTTGTCCTACAAATTGGAAACGACAGAGTCATCCAGTTAATGCAGGCGGTTCTTAACTCTGGCAAAAAAAAAAAAAAAAAAAAAA